TCTCTCTCTCTCTCTCTCTCTCTCTCTCTCTCTCTCTCTCCCACCAGTTATGTAGTAGTTCTACATTTAGTTTATGAAAAGAGAACACTGTTTTCTCTAATCCTGTCCCTTGTAGTTATGTGATCTCAAGCGTCACATTTTCCCCTTGTAGTTTTGGGCATATCACTCTGTTGGACCTCTGTTCCTTAACTGTAGAATGGGGATGTTAATGATTTCTCTTTGTTTTACATGGTCACTTATGCATATTAGTGAAATTATTTAATGCCAAATGGGGCATCTTCTGTGTACCAGACAGTGTTCCAGGTACAGGGGATACAGTACGAACAAGGCGAGCAAGGTTCCTGCCCTCATGGTTACTGTTGGAAGACAGGTGACAAACAAGATCACTGCTAACACAAGACATCCTGGTAGAGGCTTAACTCCTAAAAAGGGTGTACAGTGACCATATTTAGTTGAGATTTGAAGAGTGGGAAAGAAGAATCTGTTGTCTCCTTGTGGGGTGGGAGAACGAGGCAGAAGGAGGTGCAAAGGCTTGGAGTTTGGAGAGTGAGAGTGAATAATAAGCTGGGACTGTCCTGATGTGTTGCATCGGATGCCTGGCTAGTATGCATGCATCACACATGGAGTCGATTATAGTGTTGACTGTCTTAATTACTTTTCTTCTTCCTGTGATAAATACTCTTATAAAAGCAACTTAAGTGAGAAAGGGTTGATCCTGGCTCATTGTTCCTGGGTACTGTCCATCATGGCAGGAGAGTCAAGATGGCAGGTGCTTGAAGAAATACATCACATCCACAATCAGGGAGCTGAGAAGGATGAATGGATGGGAGTGCTCAGCTTTTTCCATCTTACAGTGTCTGTGATCCATATCTAGGCAATGGGGCAAGGCTTCCAACTTAGTTAACCTACCAGCCTACCTTGATTCACCATGTTGGCTTTTTTTTTTTCTTGGAGTTAAGGTTACTCTTTGTAGCCCTGGCAACCCAGGAACTCACTCTGTAGACCAGGCTGGCCTTGAACTCAGAAATCCATCTGCGTCTGCCTCCTGAATACTGGAGTTAAAGGCATGTGCTATCATACCCAGCTTCCATGTTGGAGAAAAATATTTTATTTTGAAGTGTGTGTGTACATGCATGTGAGTTCAGATGCCCTTGGAGGCTAGAGGAGTTAGAGGCTCATGGAACTGGAATTACAAATGATTGTGAGACAACTGATATAGGTTGTGGGGACTGAGCTCAGGTCTTCTGAATGAGCAGTACATTCTTTTAACCATGGAGCCATCCCTCTAGCCTCCTGGAATAAGATTTGATTCAACTAGTGAAGCTTCTATATTTGATGCTTTGGGAATATCAAATGGAATAGCCAGTGGTAGCATTTTTCATAAAAAGTTATCAATTATGAATGAGGAGGCAATCAGAGATCAGAAGATTCCTATTTCCCCAAATGAATTACTGGATTTTAGACATAGATGAAATAGAGCTAGCAGACATCTTTAAAGGGGAGGGTGAGGGATTCGAAGCTGGGATGTATAAGGCTCTGGACCAAAGAGCTTCTTGTTTTAGTTTCAGAATCTTGGACAACATCGCACAAAGGGCCAGAGGGTTGGCAGTCTATGCAAACCCTTGAGAAAGTGTACAGGTTGTACCATAAGAATGGGCTTCTGTAGTCCAAAGGATCTGATGCCAGACTCTCTTCTTTCTCTGCGTTGGCACTTGTTAACGTCCTTCGTGCCCTCAATTATTTCAAGATTCTTTTCAGAGGAGAAAGCTGCAGGAAGATTTTTTGAATATCCTAAGAGGAAACATTGTCCTTGTGTCTGCATTCTCAATGAGTTCCAGGGTTGTTTCTCTGGGGGGATGGTGGAAGCTGTACTCTCTGTCTCCACCCCTCTCTGTCTCCGTCTGTCCACCTGACACCACACCCTGCAGTAGCTGCATGTCCTCCATCATGCATGTTCATATCTAAAGAGACAGGGAGAACATCTTGTGCAAGCATTATTTGTCTATTTAAAGACTGAGAATGACTCAGGACTCTAACTCTTATGTGCTCAACAAGTTACGGGCTAAATGCATATTCAACAAAGAAAAACTAGAGAATAGAGGTAACAAAAGAATAAAGTTTGCTTGCTGTACAAAGAGTTTTTTTTTTTTTTTTTTTTTTAAATAAGGTATTAGCTTTTTCTTCTTTTGTGATTTCAAGACAGGGTTTCTCTGTGTAGCTCTGGCTGTCCTGGAACTCACTCTCTAGACCAGGCCTCAAACTCAGAGATCTGCCTGCCTCTGCCTCCCAAGTGTTGGGATTAAAGGTGTGTGCTACCTCTGCCTAGAAAAATAAAATATTAACTTTTAAAAATTAAAAGGGTAATTTATATATAGCAAAAAAAAATTTTAAACACTTCAAAAGAGCCTGAAATACAGAGTGGAGTCCCTTGTCACCAGATTGCCAATATAGTTCAGTTGAGATAGGGAATTCCACAGATTTTATGACTGTACAATAAATATGTCTCAATTTATATTAACTTAAAACTCATGAGGGAGGATGCCACAAACTCCTTGGTGCCTTATTTTATCACTGAAACATTTCACTTATAGATTGGCGGCTGAGCTACCAAACTAGTGCAGAGCTCAGAAACAAAGAAAACCATCTTGAGTCTCCCCAGAGTGTGTCCAGCTAGGCAGACATTGGTGACATTTCCAGCTTTACATGGTTCAGTGGCCGTGACCTTGATTGATGCGGGATGACTGCAGTCCATCTCATGTGAACATCCTCCTGGACCCAGCTCAGTTCTTCTCCCATGTCTCCTCCTGGAGGCATACTTGGCTTTGTTTCCAGTGTTTACAGGGGGGACGATTTTGTTTCTTGGCTAGGAGTTGCTTGATGCTGAGAATCCTGTGAAATGAAATGGTAAAGGTTGGAACCAAAGGCACACACCGTGTTGATAGAGAAAGGGAGCCTCTTCTTACGTTAAAACCTGATATGATTCAGGTACCTTCCTGTGGTAGAACATATAGAAGGTGTCTTTAGAATGACAAACATTACTCATGCACTCTTGCAAATTATGGATGCTGTCCTGATACGTGGGTATCTCTGAAACACACATTGAAGCCTGAAGCGCATCAGAAATAAAATGGACACAGCACTGCTGGGAAACGATACTTCATTATTCAGGAATCTGTCATGTTTATGTATTTATGTTATCTTTGTGGAAGAAAGTGACAAGTTAATTAATTTGTCGTCTCTCTAACCAAGCATTCCCACTGCGCAAATCCTCTCGGCATGTTGAATTGCTGTCCTCTTGATGCCAGCAGTGGACTAAGTCCCATGCCTTCGTGACAAGTGGATTCAGTCATAATCTAAGGGGCTCATGGGAGTGAAGAGCTTTTTCTTGAGGCCTGAGTGGTATTGGTCTTGAGAGCAGCAGGTGCTTAGAGAATGGGTCTTGCCGTTACTACCGAACAGTGGCAGTTAAGAGTGTCCTTGTGTTCTTTAATCTTTATTTTTATTTTATTTATATGTGTGTGTGTCTGTGTGTTTATGTGTCTGTGTGACTGTATGCATGTATGTGTATTTGGGTGCTGCTGAAGGCTAGAAGGTGGAATCAGGTTTCCTGGTGGTGGAATTAGAGGTGGTTGGGGCTGCCCAATGTGAGTGCTGGGATCTGGACAGCAGTCCTGTGGATGAGCAGGAAGTACTTTTAACTGCTGAGCCATCTCTCCAATTGCCCCATGTTCTTTAATAAGCATGTTAGTGACAAAGGCCTTCTAAAGGGTGAGGTCCAGAGCAGGTATCCCTCCTGCCTAGGTCTGCGAGTGTGAGTGTACATTGCTAATGACTGTATTGCATATGGAATCACACCTATAAGCTGATAATGGTTTCTACTTTGAGTGACTAGTGATTTTTTCCCATGAATTCTCTTGCCCTGATTCAGTGCGAGTACCACCTCTGGCTCAGACCTCATGTGTAGCAGGATAATTTCTTGCTATTGCTACATTATTTGCAATAAACTCGGTAATTGGAGAGGTGCTCATGTGGGAGGAATGAAGGGAGAAAAGGAAAGGAAGAGGAGCTAGCAGTGGGAGGAGAGAGGTAGCAGCCATGGAAAACTACAGGTGGATCAAGAGCAGTCCTGGGTAAGAATTTATATCTAAGGTTAGGTATTGGGTAACAACTCTAATTATATGGGCATCTTGTTAATTGAGTATTTCAAAATATATAAATATTGGATAATCTTTAAGCATTAAGAGTCTCATTTCTACCAGATGCTACGGTCATAGCGGGATGGTCTGGGCTCAGCCAAGTATTTTGGACAGCGTGGTGGATTGGCAGAGCCAGCCACCATGCTGGTGTCTTGTGGGTGCCAGGGCTGGTGTTTCTAAATGGCTGGAGCCTCAGGAAAATGGCAAATGCCTGGGAACAGCTGTCCCAGGCCACAGTTTTAAAATTTTGTACATAACAAGTGGCACCTAATATGGGGCTTGAACCCACAACCCTGAGATTAAGAGTCTCACGCTCTACCAACTGAGCTAGTCAGGCTGCGGTCAGAGCCAAGAACCTGTGGGAACATCCTGGACCAGGTGCCATTTTTTAAATATTACCTGTAGCACTCATGAATCCCACACTTCAGGGTTAAGGCTGAGTGAGTACACCGGGGACCGCGAGAGTACCACTGTAGAGAAGACATGCTAGTAAATGTGCCAGGTAAAAATTTAGTACTTTGACAGTTTGTGATGGGCAGCGGTGACAAGGGCACGGAGAGCATGATGGGAAAACCAGGCTCAGGCGCCAGCTATGAAGCTTCAGGTCACATTTTCTCCACCAGGTGGCATGTTGTGAGGGAAGATGTTAATGCCAAGTTGACAGAATCGCTGGAGTGGGAAGCCTCACCTGAGATAGCAGCCTGGATAAAAATCTCCTCCCTCCCCGCCCTGCCCCATCCCCTCAAGTTTGGCCTTCCTGCTCACTGCTGAACTAATTTATTTCTCTGCTGTTCATTCATTCGCTGATGTCACAACCAGAATTTTCAGGTTTTCCAGATTAACAGGACTAGTGGTTCTCCAGGAAACCTTCTAGCTTGGAACTGCTGAGGTATCCTACCCTGTTGCCTGAGCAACTTCGGGCCTTTTCAGTGTGAGTCAGCCATTGTGGGATAACTTAATTACAGAAGTGTCCATCCTCAAAAGACCAAGTAACCATCAGCTACTCAGCTGCTCAGGTGTGACTCAACGGTTGCTGCTGCTTCACAGAAAGTGGATTTAATACATTACACACACACACACACACACACACACACACACACACACGCACTTCCTCTCAGCTCTGTTCTTCTAGAGAACTCCGCGGAACACTCATGGTGCAAGCCACCTTGATCCTTTTGTCTCTTTCGTAATACTCTTTGGAGGAACCCGGCAACAGGCAAGTTGTAGTCTTGAGGGGCAGTTGTGACGAAGCAACTACCAGCCGTGGTATCTTGAGAGAGACGCTTAGGAGCTCAAACATTCTCTGCTGGGACGAAGTAGAACGTTAAGAAAGATTCAGTGTTGATGCCAACTCTTCGTTCTTTGTTTACAACTCACATCAGTAAATTCTTTCTTCTCTTTATGAAACCTAGAGCTAAGTGAATTTAAATGAACTCTACCGAAGAGGAGTAAGTTGCCTTGTCTAGCTCTTGAACAACAGGGACAAAATCCTAACCTGTGTCAATGAGATAGCATCAGTGAGTCTAGTTTCTCTTTGTGGTCTTTTCATATGAATATAAATATATAATGGTCATAAATATTGGTTATCCATCCATACATAAATAGGCCTACCTACATATACATATATGTATTTTGAGAAAGGGTCTCATTGTGTAGCCCAGGCTGGCTTGGATCTGACTTCCTGCCTCAGTCTCCTTAGTGTATTTACCATGGGTATGTACCATATATTCCTTCTAAAAAATTAGAATATTTTAGTTAGTTTATATAGTTTTTTTGGTTTATTCTTTAGCTGTATTAAAACCAATGACGAAATAATTTATTATTCTTATGGGACAGAATATTTAGTGTTTATATATACTATTTCATCTCAAGGCTACAGCAAATCTTACTCAATAGCTTTGCTATTTTGTTAGTGTAATACAGGGTCTTACTATGTAGTCCAGGCTGGCTGGGAACTTGCTATGTAGAACAGACTAGATTCAGACTACAGAGCTCTGTTTTCCTCTGCCTCATGAGTGCTGGGATTAAAAGCATGTCACATGCCCTGTTTTTGGACATGATTTGGGTTGATTCCCAAATCTTTGCTAATGTAAGTAAGTAAATGTTGAACAGTCAAATCTTTTCACACATTTCTCCATTAGAACAGAGAATTTCAACTTCAGAGCTCCCTCTTTTTCTTGTTCACATGCCAACACATAATTTTCAGTGACATCATTAGATTTAATTTTCTCATGTTCTTTTCACAGCTAAGCACCTTCTTAAATGATTTCTGAAAGCTCAGAAGCTCAATATAAAGAATCCAGCAGTTGACCAACAACCTTCATCTCTGACTCATGAGCTTTCTAGACCAGAGGGCAGACAATGACCTCCGCCAATGGTTCCCTAGGTTATGTGTACAGTGCCAGTGTCCTTTCCCTCTCTTGGTTCTCTTCCCCCATCTCTATCATATGTTGCCTCTGATAAATACAGGCATAATATAAATGAGAGACTCATATTTGCACCCACAAACTGTGGATCAGGTAAAGTGGATACAGGCCCTATGTATAATGGGAAAAAGAAATTTCTAGAAAATACAGCTTGTCATAGCAGGGTATGGTGGTACAGGAAAATCCCTGGGGTTCAATGGCAAACCAGCTTGTGATGCTTGGAAAATTCCAGACCAGTGAGAGAGAACTTGTCTCAAGAAAAAAAAAAGGTGGTTGACTACCCTTAAAGAATGACACTAGAAGTTGACCTCTGATCTCTACGCATATGTACACACACACACATACACATGCGCACCTGCATACATATCCCAGGTATGTGGAGAGAGAGAGAGAGAGAGAGAGAGAGAGAGAGAGAGAGAGAGAGAGAGAAGAGAGAAGAAGAGAGAAGAAGAGAGAAGAAGAGAGAAGAGAGAAGAGAGAAGAGAGAAGAGAGAAGAGAGAAGAAGAGAAAGGGGAGAGAATAAATACACATATGCTTACTGGCCAAACAAAACCACAAAATCTGTAACAATTGAGTTCAGTAGAATAGGACTTGATTCCAGGTTCTGCCACAAACTTGATGACTGAACACCGTCACATAATCTTCTCTAGGATTCAACACATTCATCTTTGAAATGGGACAATTGGCTTGTTTCATTCTAAGATTCCTTACAGTGTTCTTCCCTGTGAGAAGTAAGTTTGAAGCTCTGAAGCTATGCCTTCTGTCTCATGATGTGCTTCCTTTGGCTAGCAGCTTCTCAATCTGTATTTATAATGCGTTCTGTGACTGCCATCTCTATTCTACTGAGCCAGAATGATGACATTGACTATAGCTAACTCTACCTGCCATGAAGGATGTATGTAAGGTCTCTAGATTTATGATGTAGGTGAAGTGTGAGTCAATAGAATTTGGGATAATCATTTTTTTCATCAGTTCTGTAATTACTACTATGATTCCAGGTATATTTTTTCACTACTGAAAATATGAGCTATTAGGAAACCCTTAGAAGTCATTTAGTCTAAGGGCCCTTTATTTGCGTTCTGCAAATCTCTCAGGTCTGAGAACCTGCTATGAGTATAGGAAGAGATATTTATATATGATCCATTAGAACCCAGTCTATAATTTATAGAGATACAATTTTATTAAAACGCAGATTGTTTGGTTTGGTAAATTGATGACTTGGTCAACCATCAGTATATCAGTACATTAAGCATTTCTCTTTTTTTTTTGAAAGATTTATTTATTATCTATGAATACACTGTAGCTGTCTTTCGACACATCAGAAGAGGGCATCAGATCTCATTACAGATGGTTGTGAGTCACCAAGTGGTTGCTGGGATTTGAACTCAGGACCTCTGGAAGTGCAGTCAGTGCTCTTAACCACTGAGCCATCTCTCCAGCCCCACATTAAGCATTTCAATTATACCAGAAAGTCACTCACTGTGGCTCTTTTAGCCCATCATCCCTCTGGCACCTTTACATCATCAACTAATTTCCTAATCTTTTAAATTAGTACATGTTAATTCTATAAAATAAGGTGTCTCATTGTGATTCTTTCGTAATTGTACTTTGACCACATTCATCTCTTTTTTCCTCTCTTTTGATCTTCTCCTTGGAGTCTATTTCTTCATAACTCCCTCTGTTTTCATTTTTTTTGGGGTTTCTAGATTTTATAAATGAGAGATAACATGTAGCATTTATCCCTGTGAATTCATTTTACTTTATTTAACACAATGCTCTCTAGTTCTATCCATTTTCTTGAAATGAATATTTATTATTATTATTATTACTAATTATTATTAATTATGTGTATGTGTGTGTCTGTGGGTTCTGTGCATGTATGTGCAGTATCTGCAGATGTATCAGATACCTGTCCAGACAGAATTATGAATGGTTGTGAGCCGCTAGACATGGGTGCTGGGAATTCAGCTCAGGTCCTCTGGCAGTGCAGAAATTGCTCTTAACCACAGAGGTGTCTCTTTAGCCCCAAAGAATATATTTGGCAGATGAACAATGCTTCATTGTTATATATGCACTGTTTTAGAAACCAATTTGTCTATTGGTGGGGTCCTAAGCTGATATCATAACTAGAATATCATGGTAGACATGAATGTGCAGGTGTCTCTGTGGTATGCTGACTTATATTTCCTTGAGTACACATTAAGGAGTGGTATAGCTCAGAAGAATTGAAATTTCAGATAGATTTTATGAGGCCACCATCAGTCTGATACCAAAGACATAACAAGCAAAAAGACTACTGGTTCATATCCCAGATGAATAATGATGTGAAAAATTTCAACAAATACTAGCTATGACAATCCTCAAGAAACCCTAACAGAGCCAAAGCAACATCACATTAAAAGGCTCTTATATCATGACTATCTTGAATTTATCCTTGAGGTGAAAGAAAGATTTAACATACAAACATCATTTGATGTGATGTAACAACTTAGCAGAGTAAAAGTTAAAACCACATGATCATCCTATAGATATAGAAGAAGTACTTAATCAGAATTCACTACTTTATATTAAAACATTTAAAAATTATTAAGAATGAGAAAATGGAGGCTGGAGAGATGGCTCAGTGGTTAAGAGCACTGACTGCTCTGGCAGAGATCCTGAGTTCAATTCCCAGCAACCACATAGTGGCTCACAACCATCTGTAACGGGATCTGATGCCCTCTTCTGGTGTGTCTGAAGATGGCAACAATGTATTCATATACATAAAATAAATTAATTAATCAAAAAATAAAAATAGAATGAAAGAATGGAATGTTTTTACTCAGTAACAAACAAGGCACAGATTTAGTGTCTTACTTTTTTTCTGTTAATATAATACTAGAAGGTCAGCATTCAGGTGGAAAGGAAGAA